TCATGTTGCCCTCGTTGATGTGTTGAAGGATTCTCCCTGGTGTCCCCACCACCATGTCAATTGAACAATTTAAAGAATCTTCTTGAGGCCTTAAACGGCACCTCCACTGATCATTATCGACCGAAACCTCGCATGATGACTTATAGACTTTGCCACTCGAAAAACCTACAAAAACCAAGACACATAAGGCCTCCAAAAAATTATAAATGGCCTTACTTTTTGTTGGGTAAATGAAGAAACCCGCTCAGATAGCTTTCTAGTAGGACAGAATTTAATAGCACGAGGACGCCTAGGCTTCATTACCATGCCAAAAGTTGCCTCATCTTGTCTCAATAACTGCAACCAATATTCTCTCTTGCATATCAGTAACAAGAAAGAAAAATCACAAAAAGAAACCCCCTGCCAAGATCTTTCGAATTTATTGAAAAAAAAAAGGAACTCACAGCCAATATTTTAAATGTTTACAGGTTCTAAAATCCAAATAATATCAGCTCACTAAAGAACAAGTCAAAACTGCAAAACTAATCTCTTTCTTCATTTACTTTGCTTCTTGTACTTGGTGTTTGCCTTGATTTATGATAAAATAATGATATATTGCAGCAACATGCTTTAGACAATCTTTCTCTCAAAAAACATGCTTTAGACAATCTCTGACTGAAAGTGCACTCAAATTTAAAAATAGACTCAATCCATACTAACTGTGCTTTTTTTTTCCCGGCACGTTAACAGATGGAACCCAAGATGTCCTGCTGTGGTACTCGCCACCCTGACAGCCAGGCCCTCTGGAATTCATGTAAAGCAACAAACAGGGAAGCAAACACCCTTTTCCAAGTATCCAAGCACATTGCTTTGGACCCCTCTCAAGTTTAAAAGTGTCTTTGGGGCAATGAAATGGTTACCAAGCATGCAGGAAGGTATAAGTCAATGAAATGGATGACAAATGTATCCCATTTTTATAGCTTCAACTACATTTTCATGAAACAGCTATTCTAGTAAATTACGTCTACTAAGGATAATAAGTAACAAAGCCGCATATAGAATATAAATGGGATGTCTTCGATGTGACACAAACAGCAAAGTGAATGTTCTATCAGCAGATGGTGGAAATCAACCTCAGAAACAAGAAAAATATAACAAGCCACCTATAGAACATAAATCGGAAGTCCCCCAAATGAAAAAAAACAGAACATACATAATATATTTTGTATATTATGATGTAGTTTCTCTTTTTATTTTTACATTGATGTTCATGAAAATGGCGCATAAAAATGGTATATCCCATTGTTATTTGCTATTGATTCCCATAGAACACTATCATAAATGCACCAAATAAAAAGAACTCAATAGAAAACAAGATAATAAAAGTGAATGTTCTATCAGTAGATGGTGGAAATCAACCTCAGAAACAAGAAAAATATAACATGAGGAAAAAAAACTCTTAAAACATAAACATCAAAACGAAAAAAGCCATCAACGAATACATTCTTAAAAAAAGTATTCTTAAAAAAAAATAAAAGAAAAAACAAGTGCCAACTCCCAACCAAAAGGAAAAAGAAAGGAAAAGAGCCACAAATCACATCCATACATGCCATAAACTACATTAGCAAAATTTAGCAAAGCTATCATATACTCTAGCACTCCCATAATAGAGAGAGAGAGA